TGGACATCTCTTGACTCGTGCAACTTTTGAGCCTTTGGATCCCAAATAAGAAATGCCTTCTTGCCCCGAGCTAATCCAAGGTGGATGCCGGGTTTAGAGCGATTGTCAAGTTTGCGTTGGAGGTCATGATGGATATGGAGGGTTGCATTGCACCTGAAGGTACGTAGCATCAATACATTTGGCTTGTTGCCTGTGTACCTTTCGTGGGGGGAGATGTCGTTGGGGAGTGCTGCATGAGGAGAAATGTTCTTTACGAACGTGGCGTGTTGGATAGCATATGGCCAAGAGGTATGTCCAATTTTGGATTCAATGCTTTTCAGCATCATGACACTCATTGACACAAGGGTTCTGTTGACTCTTTCCGCTACACCATTTTCCTGAGGTGTTCGAGGGTTGGTCTTTTTGTGAAGGATGCCAAGGGATTTGAGATAGTTGGAGAAATCGGAAGAGAAGTACTCACCACTGCCATCTGTCCTGAGAATCTTTAACTTATTCCCAGTTTGACGTTTGGCTTCCACAAGGAATTCTTTGAACTTATCGAGTGTGTCGGATTTGTTCTTCATTGGATATATGGTGAGGTACCGACTGAAGTCATCGATGAAAGTAATGAAGTATTTGTAGCCTTCACTCGATACTGTTTGCAGTTTGCAACCATCAGAGAATACACGACCAAGTACTTGGTCAGTGTCAGGGACCGGTCCGGGGTCAAGAGCGTCCAGGTATATCACCCAGCACTGAGGGCCTGGTGGGGTATGAAGTGGGCACGTACAGCAACGGGTCCGGCACAGGCAGATGTCCCTGAAGTGGGAATGGTGAGAAGAAGACTGCTTCTCTGGTTCCCACCCCAGGTATGTTTATATACATGGTGCTTGGGTCACATGGGGATTGCCACATCGTCCTCACGCACAGCCCCAGCCATCTGGGTATCCCTGTGGGGGATCCCAAAGAGATCCACTGCAGGCACATGTGCTGGGTGCACCCAGGGGTCGTCCAGAGCATCTGGGGCTGGGTGTGTCGTGCGTGGACTGTGGACAGGTCAATAGTACATCGATCAAGGAAAGTCATCTGTGTAAATAGAAATAGAAAGAATAAAGAATGATACAGAGGGAGAATGGAAAGGGGGGAAGTAGAGGGAGGAGGAAATAGGAAGGGGGAGAAGGGGGTAGCAGGTGGAGTGGAACTGGGTGGAGCCAGGTGGAGCCAGGTGGGGCGGGTGTGCCCTGACAGTCAGAGTGGGTTTGTGTTTTGGAAGGAATGGGGTTTCGGTGATGAGATGTGGCTTTGCATTTGGGACAGTAAGTTGATTGATCAGCATTGTTTGCTCCTATAACATCCATTCCCTTAACCATTCCACTCTGCATCATCCTCAAGATTGAATCTTTTGCAATGTGCCCCAATTGGGCATGCCAGATGTTGAGGGATGCAGTAGCAGTGATGGTGCGTGCAACATTAGCGTTGTTGGTATAGGGGTAAGTGATGAAGGCTGTGGATAAGGAGGGGATTCTCACTGGCCATCAGTAGAGGCCCTTTTCCACAGGCACAATGGCGACAAGTTTCTTGGAGGAGTCGAAAATTCGACATTTTTGGTCCCAGAAGTCTGTGCCTGCACCCAATCAGTTTAGTTGGAGAACGGAAAGGAGGTTGTGTGCTATTTTGGGGCAGTAGAGGACGTTATGGATTATGAGGGTTTCCTGTGAGTTCCCAATGTCATACTCTACTCTTATCTGTCCAATCCCTGGTGCTAAAATCACATTCTTATCTCCCAAAATGGCCTTTTTAGGGACATCAAGAGGGCAATAGGATATAAACCAGTTGCGATTGCAACACAAGTGAGAAGTGGCACCAGAGTCAATCACCCACTCAGTTTGAGCATGATGATCAGGAGTAATCTCCACATTTAGTGAGTTGAGTGTGTTTGCGACAAGCACACCTTTTTGATGTTCCTCCGTCATTTCAGTTACCAAGGCTTTCTCTTCATCCACAGATGTTATCGCCATCTTCACAGATTCTTTCAGAGTGCCTGAGCTCTAACCTTGTTTCCCCTGCCTCCTCAGCTTCTTTCCCACAGACCCACCACCTTCTGACCAACATTGTTTGAACGTATGTCCCAAGTTGCTGCATTTAGGGTTAGTGCAGCAGACTACCAATTTAGGGGTGGCAGCATTAGGCTTGGAGCCACTGGACTTCCCTGCATTGCAGCGTTTGGATTTGCCAGAGTTAGCAAACATGGCAATAGTCTTTGGGTCAGAATTACGGAGTTTCTCTTCCAAAAGGATGTAATCAATATACCCTTTGGAATCGATGTTGTTCCTCTTCATTTGCATGAGGGCAATGCTTTTGATGGTGTGGTAGGATTCAGGGGTGGCGGAGATGAGGGCAGAGAGGTAGCTTTTGTCTCCAATTTCAAGACCTAAGGAGGAGACCTTGAGGCATGTGTCTTCCAGTTCTTGGAATTGGGGACCCAGTGGTTTAGAGTCATCAAAGTGAAATTGGTGAAGAAATTCAACACTGCTAGCGCTATAGACTTATGTCATGAATTCAACTGAGGTAAACCAGGTGACTGGACAAATGACATTAAATGGACAAGCCTGGTATCGAACCCAGGACCTCTAGCGTGCATCCATACACTACTCACCCGTTATGCCAGGGAGGTTACTCCATCCCTGATGGTTATTCCAACAATTGGAAGAGGGAAGAGTGAAGCATGTGCATGTCTTGTTTGTCCTTTCCAACAAATCGGTCAGAGAGGGCTTTCCAGGCAGCATGCACAGTAGGTTTGTTCCTCATCATGGACAAGCAGGAGTTGCTAACATAGCACCTCAAGTAGGTGAATGCTCTCTCATCTTTGTTGAGCCAGTCAGCTAAGGTCAGATCAGTGTCCAGGGGCCTTTCAGTGCCACCTTTTGACACATCTTCTATGACATCCCAGATATGGTTTACTGTACTAGCATGACCAACAACCTGTCATGCATCATGCTGGCCTCAAGGTCCGGCTCAAATCAAGGTTTTGTCACACATCATGCTGGGAAAAAGGTTGAGTTAGTTGTGTCACACTGTAAACCTGGTTTCAGGGTGGCTGTGCAAACTGTAATTCAAATTTCCCTTTTTCGGAAGTAAATACATTCAAAAAATGGCCATTTCCTTGTCCAAATGGTGCACCTGTCTGGCCCGCTTTCTGCGGCCAAAGTCACACTTCTGTGGGCTTGAGGGGGGTATCCTCAGCACAGGTTGATGCAACTTGTAAGGTGCCATTGCAGCCTAATCAGCCAGAATCCAGGCCCAATAGGCCTACAAACTACCTCTTAGGTAGGCTTAGCAAGGTGGCTTGGGATATGATTTCTGTATGAAATAGGTGCATTTGTGCAAGAACAAATCTGTTGTGCAAGCGCAAAACCATCCAAATGTGATACCTGGGTGCAGGAAATTTTTCAGAAAGGCACTCTAAGCACATTTTCAAATTCTTTTGCATTTAGTTACTTATTATGGCAATATCCGATAGTATTGCATTCCTTTTATGGTAAGCTCGCCGGTTGGGTGTCATGCATCAACATGAGCTGCCAGTTCAGTACTTTTTGTCATGCTCCAGATGCAACTGGTAGTTGGTTGTGTGAGTACAGTATCTTCAAGACACTGCGCATCCTTGATGCCCAGTTGGAGTAAGTTTTACCATCAGTGTCTAGAATAGTTATGGGGAAACGGGTATTGTCTGTAGTGGTGGGGGCAGGGGCTGGCTGAGAAGTGGAGGGGGTAGTCTGCGACATGGGTGAGTTCTGAGTGAACTAGGCTCGTCACCTATTAGGATGTTAGTGATTTACGCTAGCGTTTTACACTCAGTCAATCGTTGTTGAACTTATACATAGATTAGAACTAATTACCTAGCGTTTTACACTAGGGCACATGAAGATACATGAGTGACAACACAAACATGTGGTAAAAGTGTAGTCTCACCTCAGTCAATCGTTGTTGAACTGAGGGAGACGAAAGTGAAAAATTGTTCACTGCTTTTATAAGCAGTCGCCTCAAGGGCGCACTGACTTTGGTAACAGGAATACCAAGAAAGGAAATAAAGCGCCACTAGCTCAACATCACATTGTGAGTTGGCCACAGCACTCAAGAAAACCAAGATTTCAACATGACTGTGGCTGAGAACTTCATTGGTACAAGGAAGACTGAGAGGGCGTCCGAAGAGCCATATATATAGTAATGTGAAACCTAGTTTTCGCCTTGGTCTGCACAATATACAACCTGATAGTAGGTGGGCTGGTCCTGGGAATAAGTGGGGAACGCCACCGGAAGCGGCAGAACACGCTGCTCTTCTCGCCTTGCGGGCTTGTTCACCATCAACGTTGCCCTCAGCTGAGTTTCTCAATCCTCCAGCAGTTGTTGTTCTTGCTTTTCCACATTCCTTAATCCACAATCGCACGGTGGATTCAGAATCACCGATTTACACTGCAGCGCGCGGTATCGGTGGAGCGGAGCAGGATTTTAATCATGTCATTTGGCAGACTGTGCCTACGGCTTGTTGGAAGGATTTTACACAAATTTTACACGCACACCCCAGGGTTGCTGAGGCTGGGACAGAACATGATTGGCTCAGATTCGAATCAGAATCCGCGGATTCCGAACTCATAACCGCATCCGGCAATTAGAAGTACGCGGACATGCAACTCTGATTGAAGTGATTGAGATCATATCATTGTCACTGAAACTCCAACCATTCCAATCAGGTCCCTAGAACACACCAAGAATGCATTTGATTGAGCTGATTGGGTTTATGCACATAATTGATGTCTTCACTTTTTCACAAACTTGAAACCAGTCCAGTTGGGGTTCTGAATACATTGAGCAACATCATGGCATGATACAGCATCAGCAATTTGTCCAGGTTCGTAACTTCGGCTTCAGTTTGGCAGATAATGTAATAACCACTTCATCGCTAGCTTCGCTCTCGGTCAGCATTCTGTCAGACTGATACCTGGGGTAGACTATTACACCTCCCACTAGAGTACTTCTGCGATCTCGAACGCGAGCATTGCTTCTGCGTATAGCATGGTACGTATCACGTTCTCCGGCCCCTGGGCGGGTGAGGCGACAGCATTCCAACGGTCTGGCCATTTATTTGTGTTCGCTTGAATCTCCCTCGTCATTGAGCAGCATCGCTTCGGTCCTATCTGAGGTGAGTTCTCGGCTACGCTTTTGGCGAAGAGTCTGATAGGATCTACACTGTTGACTGTTGGACTTCTCACCTTTCTTCCGCCGTAAATGGTCTGTGAACACTCAACAACCGCGACCACAAGCTCTTTCCTTCGGCACAGCCGCATCCCCTGCTCCCCCTTTCTACTAGGAGGAACGCATCCTAGTGCCCCACAGCCCCCTGACCCAGGTTCTAGCGCCCATGCAAGCGCCAATTCCAGTTCAACTCGGTCATCTCCGGGCGGTAACTCTACTCCGGATGAATGATAGCTGGTGCTGCTGGAGGGACTGTTGCACTGGCTGCGGTGGCAGCTTTATTGTTTTATTTTTTTTTAAAAAAGACTTAACGTACTTGGGCAACGATTCCCCGCAACGATCAGCCAGCCTGGTCCGACCACAGGGGTGAGTCTCCTGCCAAATATTCTGAAAAGGGGCTGATGGAGGGTTGCGTGGACCGGCTGGAAGGTGGGGCCAGCTGGCGGAAGGGTTAGATCAACCTGCCGGAGGGTTGGGCCTGCCGGCGGGAGGTCGGGTCGGGATTTGACCAGCTGCCGGATATGGTGTGCAAGGGAGACCTGGTCTTATTAATCATATCGCATAAGGGAGTGACCGTAGGCATTCGTGGCACCGTATAAGACTAGTAGGAGGCAAAGTGTTGCCTATCCAACTGTTTTCACTTTTTTTCCTGGTGATATCGACCTATTGACCAATTTCTTCGCGGACTGTCCTGGCTTGTTGCAATCGTCTGTTCTTTGGAAGTCGCGACCTGGAGTCATGCCGTATGTTAATCCCAAGAATTTGTAGCGACCTGCTTCGGTTTTAAAATTATATTGTCGGTGCTTCTTATTGCGTTCAGTCGGGGGCATCAACATACAATATTTGTGTTCCCGAGCGAGTTGGCTGCACAACCATTCAGTGGGAGGAATTTGAAATACGTTTTGCACTGCCTGTCGATCGATTTGGTTAACTTTACCTATTCCTCTTTGCTTCGTTATTCCGTGGGGTTTTCGGGCCAGATAGGAGCCGTATGGCTGTGGGATTGCGGCTTTCACACCAGCTAGGAGATCGCTAGGGAGATGGAGATTGTTGTTGCAGGAGCCAGTCTGCCCGTGGGGTTTGAATTAAGACCAAGGGCCCGAAGTACGATCGTTGAATCGAGCTGCTTTCTGGCGCGGTCGGACATGCCAGTGCATGCAACATCCAGCGGTGTCCCTGGCGTGGGCAGGTGACCAGCCTCTATTACCAAGATGAGAACCCCATCGATTCAATGCTGTGCAGCTGCCTTTCTAATTGAAGGCGTGTGGGCCCATGCTCAGGAGTCAGATCCCGTAAGTCCTACTGCGCGTGTTTGCACTGCATGTGTCGTTTTTCAAACCGTAATCATGGGCATTCTTATACTGCAGCTGAATACCATCCATGTTCCAGTTCCAACTCCCCAGAGGAAAGGGTAAAAGGCTAAGGGTATTATGAGGAGATGCTGGTACGATTATGTGTCTATGGACGTGTCAGGCGAGCCCTGGCCATGATGGCCCTTCTGCTCACGTTTCATGTCCACCCGAGCGCGTCGCAATGCGTGGTTCGATTTCCTGACACACCAGGCGGAATAACGGCTGGCCTTCCGTTCCGGATCTCGTGGACTAACTGCACAGTGAGTTCTCTTCATCAACGGTTCATCCCACTCTCAGTGTTGGGGCCCATAGACGCCCGTTCAAGTTCAAGTTTTGGACAAACCCGGAGGTTACGTACTTCAAAACTACATTAGATATGAATCTCCTTCCTACATGTACGTGATTCACCTCGACTAGGATATGAGCTGAGAGCTGATGAGTTCTTCGATAGTAACATCACTGACGGCAATGTGGGCAGGACGATTTACCTTAGCTTGAGAGATCGGACTGGATCCTTTCATTCAAGCTTACCTTACGTTGTCAAGGCATGCCATGATTAACAATATGTCTATCCGACCCGGCTATTAATATGTGTGTACATTCAAATAGCCGAATTCTGCCTTTGTGTCCTCGTCCTCCATGTCCGCTTCAGTAAGCGTCCCCATAATCTTACCAACGATTCCACCGTTGAACGACGGGCCTGTTAAATCGCTGCATAGAGCATACAATTCGTCTCGCTCAGTGCTGCATCTGTTCGGTTTGTCAGCCTTGTCAGCGTGAGTGAAGCACAACATAGGTAGATTGGGGCTCGGTGCTAAGTTCGGGGTGCCCTGATTTATGGCAGGTTTCCTCTGTCGCGGCGCTCTCGGCACAATCGACGATCTCAATTCGGTCAGCGAACTCTGTCCAGTCAGAGCGCTCGACACTGTCTGTACACTCCGTGCGGTCCGTGCGGTCCGTGCGGTCCGTACAGTCCACGAGTAGTGTCCAATCCCTTGCCAGGCTTTCGTCACTCTCAGTTCAGTCCTCTGATTCTCTTCGATCTCCCGCATATCTCTCATCGCGTTCGGTTCAATCGACTTCATCCCTGGAGGTAAGAATATTTCCCTCAGAGTCAAAACTTCCACTGATGTCAACTGGATTATTGCATTTGGCATTGGACATCATTCTTTAACGCCATGACAGGGATTCTCGAGTTTGACTCCATCCAGGTCCTTTGTGTCATTTCCTGCTTCTTCGGTGCCGTCTAGCACGGTATCTTCAACTCTAACGCCATCTGCACCCTCGTCGACTTCAGCATCCGGAAATCTCTCTAGTATCGTGACGACATCCACTGGCATTCCTGTCACCGGACATCGTTCAAGGAACTTACCAGCAATCGTAGGCGGAGCGGCAGGTGGCGGAGTGGTTTTTATTTTTCTCGCTTTCCTGCTTTATTGGTGTTCCAGAACGGACGAACCTGATTATCTGGAAGAATCTGCACTCGAGCAGCATGGTCACGGTGAGTACCCAGTGATCAGGAAGTCCCGTCAACACAGTCAACCATCTGGTCCGCCAGGATTAGGTGGTGCACGATGGGATCTGTATGCCCCTGTGACCTCGATGGCGTCATCACATTATGATCCGTATATCCAGAGTTCAGGTGTTACCATTGGGACTAGCGAGAGCCGCAGTCACACAACTACCGGAGACAGATTTCCATCTCAAATCCAGCTTTATCCCCAGCTACAGTCATCCCCACGACCCCAAAATCAACCTCTGGAGCGTGAGGGCCGAGTCCAGCAGTATCTCAGCCAGGAACAACCCAGTGGTAGAACCAGCAAACCTCTACGTGTTTTAAACCCCGATACTCCATCACCGGAACAGTCGCCCGTTTCTCCACAACAGCATCCCTCGATTACATTCAATTAATCTGAGGTGCCTATTGCGGCTTCCAACGTTGGTTTTCATCCCAAAATCACCCAGTAGCCCTCCCACCAGCACCGCTCCACCCCCAAAGTCCTCGCGGGGTTCCACCAATCTAAGCATGAGCATCTATACTAACAACGGGCCTGGGGTATTGGTACCGAATCCACAACTGAATTTAGAGTCAGGAGGGTTGTACAAAGATATGGGTGACTGGCGTGGTGTGGTGGGTCCGGGTGCGAACCGTGTGTATGGTTTACCGATGAGAATTGCGCCCAAAGCCCTGATCTGGCTGGAACAAGTCGGATTTTCCGGAATTTGGTCAGACGTAGCCGTCAGGCTTCCGGCTAAGCATGGCGACGTAATCACTTGGAGCAATCGTTTGATGGATTGACTTGGCTTTGACCTTCGTGTCAATTTCTCTCTTCGATATCCGATTTACTACTTCTGTCGGTCTCTGTGAGGTTATTCCAGTTATTGTTGGGCAATAATTTCCTCGACTCGTGGGCAAGGCATTTATGAATGGATGTATTTTTTCTTGGAGAATTGAGGGCTAGCTCCGACTTAGTTGCCGAGCAGGGCCAGTCGCTTGCTCGCTCGTTCGCAACGCTGTAGCCATTTGCTTCAAACCTCGTCGGCATCGTCGGCATTTAACTTGAACTACTAGTAAAGCATATGCCCCCTACCATTTAGTCGTCGCCTTCAATGCTGATGATTCGTGGTGTCCGAGACAATACTTCGAATGAACCGGCGGTCCGATTCGATTAGGAGGGGTGGGAAACGATTCCTGACTCCCTACAGGATGTAAAAGTAGATAGACAAAATCGAGAGGAGATGAATCGACGACATCGGGTTGAGAAATGACACTTTGAAGGTTAAGGTTGATAGCCGTGATATATATTGTTGTAATGTAGGGATTCCTGATAAGGCAATCCGCTTACTTCAGCGGTTATACTCGCGAGACCAGAGGTAAGCTAGAAACTTTTCTGATGATTTTGCTCAACGCACGTCTGTGCGTATTTATACATACACGAAATGTATTACAATGATGATATACGTAAAATAAGTAACTGCGCAAGCGCGCGTACGCAAGCACAGACTAAGCGGGAATATTCTAGCGATTTCCCACAATAATCCAGAATGCCCCGGAAGGTTCCGGTGACTCGTGACTTCAACACTCCCCCTCGAGTCACGTATCCTGTACAATAACGGATGCAAACTTAGTGAATAGGTCTTCAGGAAGTGGCTTTGTGAAAATGTCAGCCAAGTTGTCGGATGAGCGGACATGATGAATTCTGAGATCGCCGCGTTCGATTAATTCCCGAATAAAGTGATGCCATATGTCAATATGTTTGCTCCGGCTGTGAAATTGGGGGTCACGAGTTAATGCAATAGCCCCACGATTATCGTTGTTGAGATTGAATGGGCGCTCCGCATCGAATCCGAGTTCCCAGATGAGCATTTGGTGCCATAGTATATGGTGTGATGCGTGACTTAAGGAAGTATACTCGGCTTCCATGGTCAATAGGGCGATAGTCCCTTGCTTCTTAGCGCTCCAGGCGACAGCTCCCCCTGACATAATGAATAGGTTACCAGAAATAGATTTCCGGTCCTTTTGTTCTGCCCAATCCGCGTCTGCATACCCAATTGCTGTTAATCCGGAATCCGATTTTGAATAGGTAATTCCGCAATTGATTGCCCCCTTTAGGTATCGAAAAATCCGTTTGACTCCAGAAATATGTTCCGGACCATAAGAATTATTGAATTGCGCAAAGTGATGAACGGCAAAGGCAATATCTGGGCGCGTGCATAATGCAGCCCACATAAGCGATCTGATCATTGTTGAATAGGGGTAATCTGGGTGCAGGCCTGAGAACTTTTCATAAGCCTGTTTCGGGTGCATTGGGGTAGGCGCTGGATTGGAATCAATCATTCCGGCACGTTCAATTATGTCGCGAATGTATTGTTCTTGCGAGATTGTGATTGAATTGTTGCTCCGGTCTCGGGAAATTTTAATCCCAACAAAGTGATTTAATTCTCCAAGATCATGGGTGTCGAATTTGGACTTGAGTTCATTTTTAACGAATTCAATATGATCTGCAGGGGCAAATATGGCGGAGTTGTCGACGTGGAAGGCGATAATTGATATTTTCCCGTTTTGGCGACGCACGTAAACGCAGGTGTCGGTGAATAAGCGCATGTAACTTAATTCGGTTAATGCCTTATGTAGTTGTCGGTTCCACACCCGCCCTGCCTGTTTAAGGCCATACAGAGTCTTGTTTAGGCGAAGGACCCTGTTCATGCCGTCCTCGTACTTCGGGATTTGCTTCATGTATATTTCCTCCTCCAATTCTCCATTCAGATACGCCCCGACAACATCCATTTGATGTATTTCGAGGTCCAATTGAACTGCGATAGCCAATAAAACCCTGAATGACTCTAGTCGCATTACTGGCGAGAAGGTTTCATCAAAATCCATTCCTGGAATTTGAGAAAATCCCTGCGCGACGAGCCGGGCCTTGTATTTGATTATTTCCCCTTCTGTATTTCTTTTTGTAGTTAGGACCCATCAGCAACTGATAATTCTACGATCTGCTGGCAGAGGGACCAATTCAAAGGTGTTCAACTTTTGAAGTTGGGCCACTTCGGCATCCATTGCCGAGCGCCAATCCTCAGCATCATAGCGCTGTAATGCCTCACGGATATCTGGGCTATCGGATTCTGTTGCAGCCATTGCATGCACGAGGGAATTTTGATTTTCGGTTCTGACCGGTCCATGATCCGTCCTAATTTGGACTAATGGGGATTGAATTCATTTCAATTGGCTTCTCGTTCAGATTCCCGTGTATTCATTGTGGCTAAGCGATGAATTGGCTTCAGTTGCTTCCGCAGATCCCGCTTCTTTTGAATTGCTGGGCACCTGTTCTGCTTCTTTCTCCTGGTGTTCCACGTCCGTCTGCGGATCATTTGACTGAGGCTCCCCCTCAGGCGGACTGGAAGCGGGAATGGGAATTTCGACATTGGGGTGGGGGTTATGGGGATGGGGAAAAATAACATTCTTTGATTTTGCAATTACTCCACTTTCCGGCTTGTAGTAGTAAATTGCGCGTGTATTATCGGTCAATCCAATAAACCTATACTTGTTGGAACGCGGGTCCAGTTTCCCCTTTTGGTCTTGGTCCAGCACCCAAACATCCGACCCAAATATGTGAATTGAATTAATATTTGGCCTCGCATTGAAAAACATCTCATAGGGAGTTTTTCCATTGAGTGTGCGCATGGGAGAGTGATTTTTTAAATAGCATGCATAAGCGATTGAATATGTCCACAATGTTTTTGGTAATTTAGAATCAAACAACATTGCGCGAGCATGATCCAATAATGTGTGGTTTAACCGCTCTGCAATGCCATTTTGGGAAGAGGAATGTGGAGCGGTGGTTTGATGGAGTGTTCCCTGGTTGCGTAAATGGGTAATGAATCTATTGTTCAGGAATTCCGTGCCGCTGTCGAATCGAATGCATTTGATTTTGCGACTGTATTGAGTCCATAATCGGGATTTGAATTGTTTGTATGCCTCGAATGCATCGGATTTCTCCTTAAGGAAATCGACCACCGAGAAACGTGTTGCAGCATCTGTGAATGAAATAAAATAATTGACTCCCCCTTTTCCCATGACTTGCGCTGGTCCCCAGAGGTCGGTAATGATAAGTTCCCCGATTTCCCGGTACTTTGTATTGGATTCCCGGGGCACCGGTTGCGCTGTGGATTTGCCTTGAATGCATGCCTCGCATTCAAAGTTTAATGGGGATGGGATTATTTTCATTCCATCAACATTTCCCTGTTCCATCATTGTTTTGAGGGACTGGGGCGCAATGTGCCCCATTGCCCTGTGCCACTCCTCCCATGTTCTTCCTTCCTTATCCCCTCCTGTAGTTCCTGCCATCGCGATCGGCTTCTTTAGAATAGACATATTCATTTTATACAATGAATTGCCGTTTGCTTGTCCTGTGCATAATTCTGACCCGTCCGGTGTGAACAATTTGATTTGGTCAGATTTAATTTGAATTGTTCCACCCGCACAGTCAAAACATCGCAAGGATAATAGGTTACCATCATTTGATGG